ATTCTGTCCGCCTCCCCCTTCCCCCTCCCCTCATCAACCAGCGCCACCAACCCAATCGGCACCCCAATCAACACCAACAAAAACCAAAACGCCGGCCGAATCGTCCCCGTATGATCCACAATCCTCCCTACCACCGCCGGCCCAATCGCACTGCTCCCCTTATCCGTGATCGCGAACAACGCGTAGAACGCCGCTTCTTTCCCCCTCGGAATCAACTGCCCAAAGAAACTCCGACAGTAGCTCGACAACCCGCCCATCGCGATCCCATAGACGATGGACAAGGGGTAGATCTCCCATGCCTGTTGCAGACCCAACCAGCCGAGGCGCTGCACGAAGGGTATGTAGCCTAGGAGGCCGTAGAGGGGCACGCACTCCATGACGCAGAGACAGCAGACGATTGTGCGGGGGGAGCGCAGGCTGTAGCGGCGGGTGATGCGTGGCCAGATCAGCGTTCCCAAGATGCCGGAGCAGGTAGCGGAGATGCTGAGGAGGGCGACGCCTGTCGGGGAGAGCTGGAGTTCGGTGCGCGCGAACATGATGGCGGTGGAGCCGACGGTGGCGATGGCGTCGGACATGAGGAACCAGGCGAGGAGGAAGATGCGGAGTTGGGTGAGGCGCAGGGCGAGGAGGAGGGTGCGGTAGAGAGAGGACCAGGCGAAGAGGGTGTAGGTTAGGACTTTGCGAAGGTTGGCTCGGATGAGGCTTGCCCTCGTTGGTGTGAGAGAGGCGGATGAAGTTGGGGTGAGGTGGGCGGGAAGTGGGGGGCCTGGGCGGTTGCGGAGCCAGAGGTAGGATGGGATGGTGAATATGAGCCACCAGGTTGAGGAAAGGAAGATGGCTAGTCGCAGTGGAATGGTCGGGGAGGTGGATATCTTGTACTTGCTGTTGATGACCAAGATGATGATGCACAGGATTTGGACGAACACTGCTGCGGCGTAGCCTAGTCCAACGCCTCTGGCTGAGACAGCGTTAGAGAATGCAAGGGCGGGGCTTGGTGAGTCCCTGAGTGCCGGCGGAGCGGTATATGGTTCTGCAGGACTTAGGACTGGTCGTGAGGGCGGAAGCTCTAGCAGCAGCTCCTTTTCTTGAGCGCGTACTGTTGGATGATTTGATGCCAGTAGCGGGAGAAAGGCGTTGAGCATGACGAACGAGCAGCCTAGGCTCATGATCGTTACCACTCCCAGTGGTGGTGCGATCAAGTAGATGGATGGCGTTATGAACAGGAAAAGCATGCCAGCCGTCGCTCCCATAACAGCAAAGAAAACCAGAAAGCGCTTTCGATTGCTTCCTGCCACTCATTAGCTTCTGCCAGATCGTGGAGTGCCGAGACCCACCATAATCTGCGACCGAGCTGAAAGACACCAGTGCGAGTGCCTGTATGAGCACTGCCGCCGAGAACGTGTACATTGCTAAGCTCGCCGTCGTGATCTCCGCTCCAAACACATTGATAACGCACTGGTCGTTGGCAGGACCCTCATCTCTCGACGTCAGAGCACGATTGGAAGGCGGCTGCACGCAGGGTGTCTTTCGGTCCGAGAACAGCACTCCATTCTGCCGGGCGAGCGCTTCAAGCGTTACGGGCAGGAACGATCCAGGACCGCATACAGCGTAGGCTTCAGCGGCAATGCCATAGAAATACCATCCGCGCAGTTCCTTGGACGTAGTTGCACTGGTGTCCTCCTTGGGGTATCTTCGCGGTCGTGATTCGTCAGCCCCTTCGAGCCGGTCGTCATCGTCTTCCATCTGTTGTGCTGCAATGCTGCATACTTCGAGAGCTTGTCGACAGCCCGTAAGCACAGGGAAAGGCGAGCAAGAAGCTGTTCGCTTAGCTTAATGTAAGATGAGCCGTTGTCGAAAATCAGAAGCTGGAGGATTCACGGCGCTGTCGGATTTGGCATGGCGGCCTTTCTGGGCCAAGGGCTGATGACCTAATGGTCCGCAACAGCAATGATATTTAGTGTTGCAAGGAGGAGCATCTTGCGAGCGCGCGAAAATCGCTACAGTATCCGATATGCACATTGATCATGTTTATTCACTGTAATACTACATATGAGATTTACAGACAACACAATGAAAGCCATAAATGCGTGATGTGGGTATAAACAAGAAGCAAGAAAACAATAGAGATTCAGAGTCCTCGAGTGGTTCCGATGACCGCAAGAACAATCACAACGACCACAACAATGATGCCGACCACAGCCATCCACCTGTTCAGATTCCGCCACCACCTTGCATTTTGCCAGTGTAGCTCCTCCCCTCCACGGAGCCTCTTCTCTTGTCGAAGCTGAGTCAGTACGCTCATGGCTTCGCGGTCTGTGACGTGACCGTGAATGCTGGCTCTTTGCCAGTGGCCTTTCTCAATGTCGGCAAAGGCATCAGGACGACTTGGGAGAGGCAAAAGAGCACCGACTACCCACGCCGGTGGGAATACGAAGCCGAGTATGAAACACACGGTGTGCCAGCTTCTCTGCGACTTGCCCTCAACCGTGCCTGGCGCATCAAAGAACATATCGCTGGGATTCGAGTACCGCGACCGGCGATTGAAGGGGTGTCCGTAGCCACGAGATGTCGTCGAACCAGTGTTCAGCCGATGATCATGATGTAGATGAGGTGAAATCGAAGGTAATCGCCTAAGACGCTGCGGCGGAACGTAGTATGCCATGCCGGATGGGCCATTTGGATCATTCGCGTTGCCGCCAAACGGCTTTTCGTCGAAGCCTGCCCAATGAAAGCGAGGATCTGCTGGATGTAGAGGCATAGAAAGTGCTCGCATCTGTCGTAGGCTTGCCATACTGGATTTCTGTCTGAGGCTGACGAGACTTCCTCTCGAGGACAGCATAGCTGCAGTGGCGGGGCCTCTGACAGGATGGGATACAAGAGGACCAATTCCTGGCATTGTGTGTGACTTTCGTGCTTCCAGCCTGGGCCGATTCCTTGGGCGCATGATTGCTGGCAGCTTCTCCTTCACAGACTCTCGGATTGAGGCAAAGCTTCGACGGCTTCCCTTTGGCGTATTGACAGAGGTCGTGGTGAGTAATGACTCTGGCCTTGCAGGAGCTTTCTGCTGAGGCTGTGCAGGAGGGGCTACCTGCGTCACATTGACCATGGAGGTAGAAGCCATCAAATACTTGAAGGAGTCCTGGTAGAGCCCGGAGTAATATCGCTTGGCCCATGTAGGGACCACAGCACTTGCGAGGCTGCTTGACGAACTTGGTCTTCGCAAACTTGGCCTTCTTGACGACAAACTGTTCAGACGATGCTCGACGGAACTCTGCATGGAGTTCAGTCTCGACTGCGAACTCGATGGCGAATGTCCGTAGCTCGTTGTACGCATCAGCTGGTTGACACGATACCTATAGCTTTCCCCGGGCAAACCCATGACCTCGTCATCAGCTTCGTCGTGTCGTTCGCTGACTGGAACAATTCTGATCTGGGATGCATTTGCGTCGTCGTCCGATCTGAAGTGACTGGGCGCAATATCGTCTGAGTCGAGTTCCTCGTCAGTGTCCTCCCAAACCGAAGCCGAAGATCGTTTACTGTTGTTTCGAAAACTGCCAGATTGTTCTGATGGCACTGCTGATAAGCGAGACGGCCATCGTGGCGTGACCGTGTCTGCTGTGATAGACGACCGATTGTGGCGTTTGTGCACATTCAGTCCAATAACCTGCGAAGACGCCGGTGCGCGAATGACTGGGTACTGGATTGGAGGCGCTGGACTCGAGGATAACGCTGTCTGGAGATCGCTGTGAGCATCCGCAACCGAGCTCTCTTCGTGACTGTACTCGTAGTCACCGGCCTGTATGGCATTGAGCAGTGAGGCAGCATCAGGGCTCTCCAGAAGGACACTTTTCGTTCGCACGTCTGGTGCAATGGGCGGAGAAGACCTGAACGACTCCTGGCTTTCGGTGGCGTTGTATGCCTCAGGAGGCGAGCTTCGAAAAGTCGGACCTCGGACCACTGTAGCCTCACCAGCTAGCGGCGACACTTCGTCACCATACTCCCTCTTTCGCTTCCGAGAAGCGTCCGAAGACGAAGAGCTTGGCCTCTCAGCTACAGCTGGATCGTAGCCACGGATTGTCCTTGCAGGAGAAGACGTCCCCAGCTTGACAAAATTGGGACTCGAGCTGGGATCATCGAAAGATGTCACCAAATCGTACCCGACTGCTGCCCTTTCCAGGATTTGCCGCCCTGGCGATGATGTGCCCAATTTGACAAAATTTGGTGAAGATATCTCGTCCACGGAAGGCAGCTCCTCCACACTGGAGCTGTGGCCGAAGCGCATGACGTTCGGACTGGACGAGCTACTCTGAGCCAGACCGCTCGGTTCTGATGATTCTTCCACTGAGTCCGATGAGAATTTTGACGCCTGATGGTTTCTGGGACTCGACGTTCCGCCAATGACTCTGAAGTTGGGGCTGGATGTCCCTTCGTCAAGCGCAGCCGATCTGGCTGCAAACGATGACTGCGGCTGAATCTGTCTCAATGTAGATGTATGTTCTGGTAACGATGGCAATAATGCTGTGTCATCTGCTGCCAGGCTCTTGAACTGCTCCCACGCGTATCTTCCAGCGAGTCCTTCGTTGGAGCTGAAGCTCCGAAGCTTCGAGCTAGAGCTCCCTGGACGGCTTCGCGATACGGACAGTGCGGTCGATGGTCTCGAGTCGTCCGATTGCGCCTCATACATGTCCCTCAGTGTCTTGACCGACTTCTTCAGGCGCACCGCTGGCTGGCGAGGGACAGGCGGCGCACTCTGTACTTCGTGCGTGGATCCAAAGCCATTGTCTCTGAGGAGATTGAGAGCTAAATCCCTCTGGCTCCTTTGCCTTCGCATTGTATTCGGGAGGAGGACATGTTGTGGTTTGGTCGGAAAGGGAGACGTGGCGTACACCTGTGGTGGACCTCCATCTGTCTTTCCATTTCGAGGTGTTCTCGATGGCTGTTCGTTCGTCTGCGACTGGGTGCGCTCTTGCAGTGGAGTCCTCGTCGGAGTCTTCAGCACAGTCCGGGGAGGTGAAGACGACATAGTCAATGCATCGTAGTGGATTAAAGATTAGATATGTATATTTACAATGCGCCAAAAGCAATGGTCAAAAGAGTGACAGAGGTCAGTGGAATTGTGCGACGGCGACGAGTCTTCCAAGCTGGTCGATGTTGGCATACGATAAAGGCTATTGTATGTAAGACAGTAATCTGGGTGAAGCCGTCATTGCATGGTGCGGGTACCCGTCGAGATCCGCACACTTATGCAATGCAAGCTGCAGGGTGAGGCGCCGTGCTGAGGTCGTCGAAGTCTCGTCTTTAGCGAACAGTTTTGAGAGTCGTACTTCTGCTGGGTTGAACGTTGTATAGAAGGGAGAGGATGAGGACGTCGCAACTGGCGCAGCTCTTGTCGGAAGCTTACAAGAGCCTTTCGCCTGCAAGCCAGCCGTTTGGTCGCTCGCTGTCATTTCCTTGGACGACGTTGAGCGAGCCACGACAAGGGCCATGATTGCTGGAGCCCAGGGCCGGCGAGTCCATTACATCGGGTGATGTCGAATTCGTCAAATTCGCGTGTTGGTGGAGTTGGAATAATCCCCGATCGAGGCGTTATTCTAGAAGCAAACCAATCGGCGCCGATCAAAACGCGTCCAGAGTGGCATCCCAGACGCGCTAGCATCAGGCGAAGAAAAGGGAGCACGAGGGCCTTTCAGGCCGAGATTGAGGGGCGTCATACTTCAGCGGTGTGCAACTCTCATGACCAAGATCGATGATCATTAACATGATGCTCATCGTCGCTCTCATGCCGTTTGCAACGCCGACATTTACCTACCTGAGGACGAAGAATGTTCGTCGATGTTCTGACAGCGCTGAAGCCAGGGCTCTGGGAGCAAATTCCAGGGCCACCGTGAAATTGATGGCCCCATCGACTTGCTGTCAATTTTGCAGGGAAGCCCTCCAATGCGAAAGCTTGGCACATCTACTTTGAACAACCGAACCCTCACAATAATCTTGATTCTTTCGGACATCAAACTACTCATCATCTTCCTTTTTCGCCAGCCTGGTCACCTTCCGGATCAATGTAGACTATTGATGCTGCACCCATGGCCCCTGCAGACATCTATCACCGCTTGCGGAACATGTATCTCGGAGTTGATGGTGAGTGGAAGATTCATTGGCCAGGGATTGTTCCTCCTTGTTTGAGCATAGCCTCATACCTCGAATCCGCCCTGATCTCTCCACCGTTCATCGTCCATCAAGCATGTGAACCCTCAGACTGACGTCGTTGATTGTAGACAGCGACAAGCCAGTCATAGGTACATTCACTGCAGTTCTGCTGTCGGTAGGTCGCCCATCCGGCCTCAGCGGCTGGCCTCTGTTCTCACCATGATGCCCGTTCCCAAGGGCCATATTATATGCCATGAAAGACCATATGTCAGCCAGCATCGTGCCCGCGACGCGTCTTCTCTCGTCTCAAAGCAGCCAAAATGTTCTGCAACCTCCCAATCCCAACACGACACGTTCACGCCTGTAACATTTTAGCCTGGATCTCTTTCCTTGGCATCTGCATCGCTGACTACCAGACCTCCACCAGGCGCTCTTCACGTCCCTCTACGTGCTACCATTCTACACATCCAAGACGACCCGCCCGTCGCCAACCCTTAACCGGGATGCCCCTTCGGTCATCCGAGCTCGCATTCAGACGGTGACGCTAGCTTGCGTTGTCTCCACCGCTGCAGCTCTCTACCTCCTCCTAGCAGTCGCCAAAACCAACCCACTCCAGGCCCTACACACCCTAGGCTGGTGGCCGATCCGACCTCTCGACGTCCTGCGGCCGTTCCTGCTTACAGCCCTGCTCTTCCTCGGCCCGCTCTTCGAGCTCGTCTTCGTGGACCACCTCCCCACCAAAAGCGACCTCACTTCAACCCTGTCCTCCTGGCAAGGCTACCGAAACTACATCGCCGGGCCCATCACCGAAGAGATCCTCTTCCGCAGCGTCCTCATCGCAATCAACCTCCTGGCACGCGTGTCTCTCTCTCACATCGTCTTCCTGACCCCATTGTATTTCGGAATAGCGCACGTCCACCACTTCTACGAATTCACGCTCACCCATCCGGATACGCCGCTTGTGCCGGCGCTGCTGCGGAGCGTGTTTCAGTTCACGTACACGACGCTGTTCGGGTGGTTTGCTGCGTTCGTGTATGTCCGGACGGGGAATCTGTACGCATGTATCATTATCCACGCGTTCTGTAACTCGATGGGTCTGCCAAGGTTCTGGGGAAGGTTGAGACGCGTGGAGGAGTATGCCCCGGCGCCGGTGGCGATTAGGGGCAAGGATGATGAGGATCGGGTTACGGCGAGTGGCAGGGGTAAGGAGCTGGGCGTTGCATGGACGGTCGGGTATTATGTGTTGCTGGTAGTCGGGTTAGCGGCGTTCTACAAGCAATTGTGGCCGTTGACGGTGTCGGAGGGAGCGTTGGTGAAATTTGCTCATGAGAAATAAGATGAAGCGAGTATGATGTCCTCAATGGCTAAAATCGAGATCTCTTCTCACAGCACACCAAATGCTGTGTTTTCATGTGGCTGCCCCTGCTGTCTGGAGCACGGACCATTAATCGCTGCAAAGTAGGCTTACAAAAACGTCAAGCATACCGCACACTGCCCAGACGCTTAGCATAACCTGTAGAGGAGCCCAAAGGGCCAAAAACACACCTTTCGAATGAGTCGTGTCTAGCTCTTATGTCCGCAACCAGCACCGAAGCCGACCGAAGTCTTCTTAACTTGAAAGCCAGATACAAATATATTTCCGCCAAGCTCCGCTCAGTATCATCAAACAATTCACGCTCTCTGCAGTGTATCACTATCAAGTTGCAACAGAAGCATTCATTCAGTGAGCCGTTGAATGCAATGCGCCGTCCTTCTCTCCAGATCCCAAAAGCTACACAACGATATCCTCCGAGGACAGTAACATCATCGCGCCCCTCCCCATTCCGCTCCCTCACGACCAGACCCAAGACCTCACCACGACCACAATTCCCCGTAATCCCCTCCTGCCCAGCACCAACCTGCCAATGCAGTTCCACACCGCCTGATCTCGACATCGACCACAAGTCCATCATCACAAACAACATCCCCGTCTACGATTCTCATATCCTGATCGCTACCGGCCGAGACGACTGGCCCAGCCGAATCGAGGATGCCGCAACTTCGAACTCGGAGGATTACAGGGGTTTACATTGGCCGGGGCTAGTGAGAGATGTCAAGGAAGCATTCGGACGGAAAGGTATATTCCATGACGACACTCGCAACACGCTCGTAACAGCCTCGAGCTTACCACCCAGAGGAAGGAGGGAGATCTGGCACTTCCCGAGCTGCAGGCTTACCGCCTACCCGACTCAGCACGCAGCAGTCGCAGCACCATCAGCAACGCCGACCAGACGGACCCCGACCTCCTTGACCTCCTCACGCATCTCTCAACAAGCACCGCCCCATCAGCTTCAACCCACCCGCCATCAATAGCGTCGTTCCCCATCACAAGCCCAATAATCCTAATCTGCACCCACAACTCACGCGACAGCCGCTGCGGCATCCTCGGCCCCTTACTCGTCGACACCTTCCGAGAAGTCGCTACAGAACTCTGGCGCGAGCGCAACCCTTCCGCGCCTTTTGGTCCGCGGCCAGGTTTCGGATTCCCTAATGTTGGTCTCTACCTAGACAGCGCTAAAATCCCAATTGTAGCGGGGATAAGTCACGTCGGCGGGCACAAGTGGGCGGGGAACGTGGTCATCTATATGCCTCCTTCTAGGGCACTTGCGCCGAATGTGACGGCGCCGTCAGGAGACATCGCCACCACCGCCACCGACAATGACAGCAGAGAAACGTACAACCCAGATCACGGTAGCCACCCGCTGGCAGGCCACGCGATCTGGTACGGTCGTGTTGAGCCCCGACACGTGGAAGGGATTCTGCGGGAGACGGTGGTGGGTGGACGGGTGATCCGCGACCTGGCCCGAGGCGTTGTGGACTTCAATAGCACCGGTGGCAATGGCGATAGTACAATTGGAAGGGCCAGGATGGTGTATATCTAATCCGTCACAAGCCCGGGTTTTGTGGCTGGTCAAGAGATGGAAATACCCCACGGCAAAGAGATGATGTACAGACAAGAAAATAAAATTAAAATACATTCTGCAACTGCAATCCACCTCCCACACTGCCACTGCTGCAGAACAACTCCTGTACTCCACTCCTTTCCCTATGGGGAGCGCCGCAGGCGCTCCCTTTGGAGTGCTCGCTTCGCTCGCCTGAGGTGGTGGTGAGTCGGTGGCCGCTTCGCGGCCACCTCCTCCCCACCACCTCCCCCACCCACCGTCCCCAAGAATCAGATCCTGTAGCGGAAGTGCTTGTTCTCGACATCTGTCTTGTCCTCGAAGCCTTCGGCCAGCTCTTCCACAACTTCTCCATGCAATCCCTTCCTATCACGACGCTTGTTTTCGAGCCAGACAAGCGCGATGTATGCAATAGCAAACACGATTAGGGCCACATAGGCACCTAACAAACCTTTAATGGCTGTTGGGTATCGTGGCGCCTCTTCGCCCAGAAACATGTGTGGGCTTGCGATGTTGCCAGCACAGTAGACGACGAAGAACATGCCCAGGACGAAGGAGCGCTTCGAGTGTCCCGCAACGTTGATGCCTGGAAGCGACCAGACGAGAATTATAGGCGATCCAAGCACGTTCTGCATCCATGCCATTGCTGTCAAGGCATAACGGTGACGAATGTCGATTGTCAGAATGCCAATCAGTCCTGCCATACCTGGGAGCGAGCTGAGGATGATGCTGATCCCTAGCCAGCCACGTAGAGTGGAAAGGTAGCCGAAGATGATGCAGCCAATGATCTCAAATGCACCACCTGGTGTCTGTATCAGGCTTGCTTGCAGAGCATTGAAGCCGAAACCTTTGATCAGAGCAGAGGCGAAATTGACCACGCCTCCGTTGAGTACACCGACCGCTGCGCCCATGAGCCAGATCAGCCAGACCCGAGGATCAGTTGCTGCCTCACGGACCTGATACCAACGCATTTCTTTATGCTTCAAGCCGACCTTATTCTTGCTGATGCGCCACACTGCAACGATCTTCTCATAGTCTGACAGCATCTTTGCGTTGTGAGGACCATCGGGCAGGTACAAGCTAATGACAACGCCCCATACGATCGTCATGCAGCCAACGATCAGATAGATCAGCTTCCAATTGGGAATGATCAATCCTTCCGCATGGCCAGCGCCATATGCCAACAAGGCACCCAGGATGCTGCTGAAGCCATTGCAAGCAAGCCAGAACGAGCTTCGCAGACTCTGTTCCGAAGAGGTCCAGAACATCGAAGTCAGCAAGATGAAGGCAGGACTGACGACGGCCTCCAACGCTCCAAGCCAGAAGCGAACGGCGAAGAACGACCCAAAATCGAAGACGGCGGCTTGAAGCATGCATACAGAGCCCCAGACGAAAAGCATGCCCCCAATTAGTCGCCCCGTTGGGTATCTCTGCAGGATCAAAGTCCACGGGTATGCCGCAAGAAGCCATCCGAAATTCAGCGCGGACGCTACCCACGAATAGTCGTCTCCAGACATGTTCGTGTCGGCTTGCAAGCCGTATGCGTTGGAATAATTGAGGCTGCCAGGCATTAGCTTGGCATCACCTTTGGTCGGAATTCACATACGTCTGCTTGTCCAGGAAGCTGATCATGTAAGTACCACACATGAGTGGAAGCAGTATGAAGTCCAGCTTGCGTCGGACACGAACAGCATCACGCTCAAGCTGTGCCTCGTCGTACTGCTGTGACTTGGCGAAGAGTTCTTTGCCCAGCTCATCCGGATCTTGGACTTGTCCCTTGAGTCTTGCGAGCCATCCTCTTCGGTGGTTTACCTGTCCAAGTGAAGTCTCGGATGTGTCCACGTCACTAGAGATAAGTGGTGAGACTCTGGTCTGGGACTTCTCGACGTCGGCCATTGTACAGTATTTGCCCTGGAGTAGGTCGATTCTGAGGGCAATTGATAGATTTGGAAGAACCTCGAGACGTCTGAGCAGTACCTTTCCAGATCTTTATCGAGCTTCATAGACGGGATGCAGTTCCGCATCCTGCCCATAGTGTTGTCCGTCTGTTATCAGGATATCAGTGAGCTGTGGAGCATGTTAATCAGCTACTGCACCTAGCAGGACAACTCCGCTTCACAGCACTTCGCATAGTGCCCACTCTACTCGCCTTAAGTCGTCGATAACCGCAGGCGACTATTAATGACTTGCGCCTGTCACGCACCATTTCGCCCCACTCACCTGGTAGGGAGGCGGGAGATGCCCTGAGCTGTACCACATGGTATTAAACCCCCCAAGATACTGTGACCACTGCATACCACCTCCCGCATTCCAACCCTCCCTTCCCTATGAGGAGCGCCTGCGGCGCAACTAGGATCCTGCTCGCTGCGCTCGCCTGAGGTGGTGGTGAGCGAGCCACCCCCGTGAAAATCGTGTAGTGGCGGCTATATCCAGAGGTCAGTG